ATATGCCTAACTTGAATGTAACTATGAGGCAACATTAGATAAATCTAAATTGAAGGACATTTTATAAACTAACTGACCTACAAACATCAATGTCTTTCCTTTTCAAAAACATCAAGATAATGAATGAAAGAAATGAACTATTCTAGATTAAAGATACTAAAGAAACATGACAACTTAATGCAATGTGATCTTGCACCCAGTTTTTTTTCCCATTAAGTGATTTATAAAAAACAGTATTGTGAAAATTAGCAAAATTTGAATCGGGCTTGTAGATTAGATGAGTATTATATTAATGTTAACTCTTGATATTGATAAGTATGCTAAAATTATGTAAGATAATATCTTTGTTCTCAGGAAATGCACACTGCAGCATTTATGGACAGAGGGCTTCGTGTCTAAAATTCACTCTCATAGTTCAGAAAAAAATGTGGAGAGAGAAAGAGGTAAACGTAGTAAAAGGTAAACAATGGAGAATCTTGGTGAAAGGTAAATGGAAATTATTTGAATACTTGAAACTTTTCTTCCAGCTTGAAATTATTTCAAAATAAAAAGTAAAAATAAAAGTTTTAAAAATCTAAAGCAAAAAGTTGATGTGTATATCTATAGTATTTATGCTTACAAATGACAATATCTGTTTAGCATCCTTCAGTTGTAATAGCCTTAAATAATTTCAGTTGCTATGGTGTTCCCTATCACTTTTATATATATTATCTCAGAAGTCTAGAATGTGCCAATGAATGTGATAGATAACGATAGAGAATATAACAGCATCTACATTACATATCAACTTATAAATTATGATTTGAATAAACTCTGTGTTGTTCTCTTCTCCTGGTTATTGATCAGTTTCCAATGGTTGTTAGAAAAAGTCAAAAGTAACCAAAACCAACATTTCATCTATTTGTACATGTGCCATCCAGTGCAAGAAAAATAACTCCAAATGTTGTACTTTCAAATAAGAGAAAGAAGATTGGTGTGTGTGTGTGCACGTTAATTTTGGGCAGTGTTTTAGTTGCAGCTTGTTTTCCTTTTATTCCTCAAATTTGTCTTTACAATATTTATTGCATACAATCCGTGTTTGTATTTATTGACATATTTATGGTATTTTTACTCACTATTTCTTTTCCTATTTTAGTTCTTTTGGAGTTTAATAATTTTGTTTTCTCTGAAATATGTATTTGGTAATTCCTTTAGTTAAGAGTTTAACAGCAATTTTTTTGTCCTAAAAAATCTTAATTTTGCTATCATTTGTTACCATTTAAGGGAGTTATAAAATGTGTGGTCAATAATTTTCTTTCAATATCTTGAAGGTACCATTTTCTCATCTTTTGAAGATATTTACTAGTATCCTAATTTTATTTCTGTCACTATAATTACGGGTCTTCTGTAGGTCAATTTTCTCTATCTCTGCCTGCTTTTATGACACATTTTTTATCTTTGTTGTTCTGCATTTTCACTGTGATGTAGCTAGGTATAGATTTCTTGTTACTCATTTTGCTTTAGATTTGTGATTCATATCAAAAGATTCACATTTCACCCAATGTTGAAAATTTCTCAGGAAATCTCTCTTCACATCTTCCCCATTTACTCTTTCAGAAACTGTAACTAGTGGTAGTCTTTCTCATTCTGTCTACTATTGTCTCTTACGTTTTCTTTCACTTTTTCAATCTCTGTTTTTCTGTGCTGCAATCTAGGCAATTTCAGCTATGTGTAACCCAGATCATCAAAGTGTAATCTGTAGACCACTGCTGATGCATGGATTGTGTGTCCATGAGATGAATACAGAAAACAAGAATAAGCAATTGGAAAGTTTTATAGCCATTTAAAATTGTTGAAGTGTTGCTTCACCACAGTTTAAAGTGCAAGCTGCTTATATATATACACATATTTTTGTCTGCGTATTTTTCCTGAACCGTCACTGTGATTATCTTCCTCAGGAAAAAGATTTAGGTATTGAATCCTCTTTGTATGTATATGTTATTTTCTCTATGTTTAACTCTTCTCTGTCATTTAACTGTATTTACTTTTCTCATCTCTCTCGTTCTGTTTTCAGTAATGTCTGTTCTGCCTTACAGTGTTTCCAGTGTGATATTCGTCTCTAGGATGGTTTTTAGTTTTCCCTCCCAACTTATTTCTGACCTCAGCATGTGTCTTTTCTCTTGCTGTTGTCTTTATAGCTTATTTCCATAACTGTTATACATCTATTTAGCTATTTTTAAAGAGGAAATTACTTCAAAACTTTTAATTCAGTTGTTATCTTTGTTGACTTTCATTTTCTCTATGGCAATATTTTTTATCACAATTTTTCTTCTACTGTTTATTTTTCTTATTTTCTACCCCCAATATTAAAAAAAACTGTGATGTGCTTGTATAGCTTCAGTGCTGGTTCTCTTTCATTTATTACTCATCTTTGAATGAACCTATTTGCAGGAGGTTCACATTGAAAAGAACTATCACGATGTTATGGACCAGCCACCAGAAGTCTTCCTGGTTCACAAAGAAGTTTCTTTTAATACACTATGTGTCTGTAAGTAAGTTCTTTTGCCCTTCACTTCTCCCTAGTCATCAAGAATTGCAAGCTGCAAGGTCTGACAGACGGGTCACAGATCAGATCCCTATAGTTAAACTTCAGCTATTAGTGGTTTTGCCTTTTTGGTGGGCCACCTATTTGAGGACTTGATCTCTGCCATCTTTCTTTGACACTGCAGCCTGAGATATCCTTTCAGCATCTTTTTGCATGCTTGTTTTGGCCTTAGGGCATTTGGAAGCTCTTTCATTTATTTTGTTGTTTGAAAGTGATTTATCATCTGGTTTCATTGAAGATTATTTCCCTTGGTGTTTCTTGTTATACTTATTGTTTTGGGGTGATTTCTGAAAGTAAATCACCACTTTATAATTTGAAATCTGATAGTTTATTTTCTTTTAAATGTGATTTTTATGCCTCAGATAAATAAGTAGAGAGGGATTCAATTTGGAAAACTTTAGAATACACCACATTTATTAATGCCTAGGTTGTATAATACAACCCTCTTACTGCTTTTTTTGGATGACTACCTCTAGGTAGAGTGATACCCATATAACCTCTTCAGGGATGCTTTGTTTCCTAGTCAGATAGAAAAGTGTGCTGTTTACATTAACACAGGAATTGCATTTGCTAGAAAGATCCTAACTAAGAAGCAAATAATTTGATTGGCTTAAATATCTCACCACTATTGTTAGTTCAATGTATTGAGTAACAAAGTTCTGTCAGTTTCTCCTTAAATATTTTGATGTTTCCTACATGTATCAAAATCCTGCTTGTGCTCCAAGCATTATGCTAACTAAGGTCTATGAAAATTAGAAAGGTAAGAAGACTCTGCTTCTCACCTAGTTTGGCAACTGGCATAATTATGGCAAAGACCTGTGAGGCTTGTCAGATTAGCAAAGTGTAGGGTGTAAAAGGATTCTCTAAGGGGTGTGACATCTACCTGTGATACCAAATTCTGGTACCACAGTTTGGATGACCAGGGATTTGACCCTTGTATGAATACTCGGGGCTCACCAAAAGGCTGGATTCAGATTCCCAGACATTTCTTGGATGTTTATCATGAGCTTGGAGTTTTCACGTCAATAACCTTATTTAGTCCATATGATAGACTTTACTCCCGGGCTCCTTCCACCCTCCTCCTGCTTCTGGGTGCCTGGTTTCTTGCTACATGATTCTTAAACCAAATGTACTCTCTTGACTTACGTCAGTTTGCATTAATCTTATATTAAACTTTTAACTTTCTGTCTCTCAGCTTCTGTCTGTTCTCCAGTGACGGCAGAGACCTCAACACCATGCTGAAGCTTAGTGATTGAACCTCTTCAAAGAGGCTAAAGGGGTTGGGTAATACTTTTTTTCTGTTCAATCTTGATCTTCCTGGGGCTGCCTAGATTATTTTCTTTTCTTTAGTCCCTTGATAGCTCAGAAATTGTGTTTATGAACAAAGAAAGCTTTGAGGCACTGGGGAAGTTTTCTGGAAATAAATGTGGGGCTATCACATTTTGAACAGGTAACACTCAGGACCAAAAGAATGCCAACTCAAGAGAGGGCAGATGGCATGATGGTATGATTGTCAGTAGTAAAGCCCAGGGAAGAAGAAAAAACCACAAGTGATGGAGCTTTTGCTCTTCATGTCCTCTGGTTCTAGAATCTCTGAGGTGACTTTTAATTTTAATTGTGTTCATAAGGAAGCTAGTCTTATTGTGTTACTTTCTTTCTATTTACTAGCCTATGTGATTTTTGACATAAAAGGTTTGAAGGAAAATGTTAGGATGTTACACCTATAATGACAGATGGCTGTTTTTCATCTTTGAGTCTCCTCCAGAGGGGTCACTGCCTTACCATGTTGACTTTACTTACATGAGTCATCAGTGTTTGGGGAGTACGTTTGAGAGTGTGTGTGTGGCAACTGTGGATTCAGAGAAGAAAAGCACATTGCTTTGGTGATTGTGTTGCACTGCACCCTCTTCATCTCAGTTGGGTCTACCTGAGCGGAGGAAACTGAATTTTTCTCCCTCTTCATTTTGAGTAAGCACTTTAAGAGCTTGAAGGTCTTTCATAGTTTGTTTTTTTTTTTTTTTTTGAGATCTAAGAGTTAGCAAAAAGGAGACATGTTTATAAACATAAGGCTGTGACCGTCATATAACCTCCCTCTAGCAAAGGAAGGAAGTTATGGTAGAAAACAGAGAGGTCTTCAGGAGTTGCCCTGACTACAACAAAGTTTTTTGGGCACCATCGATGACATTTCTCATTCAATTTTTGTGTTTAACCAGACACACTACCTGTTTTGTTCTTTGCTCTTCCTCTTACATAGAAAGCCCTTAACCTGGGATTAAGATCACTAAATTGCTTTTAGGACATTTTTTCTGTGGGACCAACATCACCTAAAAGTTTTTTGATTAAACTTTGAGTTATTTATTTGCTTGCCACATCACCAATCATGGATTATTATGAGTGAACTGTTATGATTATGAGTGGCTACACCTCCTCAGGAACACATAGCCTATGAAGTGACTATGGCATCCTATGGAAAACTTCAATCTTTGATAATAGCATTAAGAGCTCCTGGTTTCACTGCTCCATAGGCCCTCTTTGAAAAGACCGTTATTTATAATATTTAATTGAAGCCTGTATAAGGCTATTGGTAGAAACCTTGAGTTCTCATGCCAGGTGCTAATAAGGTAGAGATGACAAAGTGTCCATTTCCTGCTACCCTCAAGTCCTTCAGATGGCTAGGATCATTCTTTCCATAAATACTTGAGTAACCTGAGCCTCCATTCCATATGTTGTGAGAAATCCAGCCTCTTCCCTAAGATCCCCAAGGAGCTTCAGGGGGTTTGTTTCTCCTGGCCATCTTTTGCTCTGGTTTCCTCCATCCAGGGAATTCTTGATCTCTATGTGTTTGTTGCTTCTGTGACTGCTGTCCTCTTCGCTGTCTTGGTTATGTTGAATGTTGTGTCTATTCCTCCATTTCCTGACAATATCACCTATCATAGGGCTGTGATGTGTACCTAACCTTTAATGAAACTGAGGAATGGGACATTGATTAATGCACATCACCAACTAACACATAATCAGATAATGTGCTTGTTGTCTGATTAACAGACAGAAAATTAAAATTGAATATTAGACACTATCCTAAACCTTCATCCATCGCTTCTCAGTCAGGAATGGAGTCCTTGCCCATCTTAGGTCCTGGGGGTACCCATCATCGTCTAGATGTTTGTCTTTTTCTCATGAGCCCTTCTTCCTCATCTCATAAGCTGTCAGCCTACTCCCCTGAATTACTGTTGTTCTCTTGTTTAGAGAAATTTAGGTCTTTATCTCTTTCTCTCCAAGCAATGTCCCAGGTTTGCTTTTGTATCTTCAAAAATTACTTAAGCGGCTCTGTTTACCAAAGTTTTCTACTCTTATTAATATAAAACTTGGATATTAAAACTTTTCTTTAACATATCCCAGGAAAAATTTTTAGAGTTCAACCACTCTCAACTAGGAAGAATATATCTGAGGGATTTGTGGGTGTAACTATCATTCATTGAATGTCTTGGCAGTGTATATGCTATTCTATTTAATCTTTTTAAGTTTCATTGTGAAATAAAACATATACTGAGAAGTGTGAAGAACTTAATGCACAGTCTAATGAAATATTATGAAGTAAATACCTACATAATCACTACTCAGGTCAAGAAATAAAACAGTATCAGCACCCCCACCCAGAAACCTGCCATGTAACTGTTTCTGATCACTTTCTAATCCCCTTCTTCATGATCCTGACATGCATGTACAACCTTAAACACCACAGGTTAATTTTGACTATTTTTGAACTTTATATAAATGGAATCATACGGTACATATTCTTTTGGATATAGTCCTTTTTTTGCTCAACATTAATTTTTGTGAGATTAATCCATGTTGTTGCATGTCTACATCTTGTATATTTTCTGACTGTATAATATTCCAATCTGTGAATATACCACAATATATTCATTCTATTGTTAATTTGTGTGTAGTCATGCACTGTATGATGACATCTCTGTCAATGATGGACTACATATACGACGGTGGTCCCATAAGATTAGTACCAAATAGCCTAGGTGTGTAGTAAGCTATAGCACCTAGGTTTGTGTAAATACACTGAATGATGTTTGCACCATGATGAAATCACCTAACAATGCATTTCTCACAATGTATCCCCATTGTTAAGTGACACATGACTGTACCAAATTAATAAGGCTGAGGGAATTCTTGACATATTTCCTGAAATACATATGCATTATTTTATTTTTACATACACTTAAGAGTAAAATTGCTGTTCATCCAATTTAGTCTTCTCAATACCTCTGTGAGGCAGTGTGAAATAAGGGAGATCTTGTTAAAATGCAGATTCTGACTCATTAGGCCTGAAGTAGGCATGAGATTCTGCATTTATATAAAGACCACAGGTGATGCTGATGCTGCCTGTCAATGGACCACACTTTGAGTAGGAAGGATTAACATAATATTATTTACATAAGTTAAAAAATATGATAACAGTGATACACATTTTTTGGAACCCGTATGTCATGGTTAACTTCATGTCAACTTGGCTATGGTACCAAGATTTAGGTCAAACACTAGTCTAGATGTTTTTGTGATGGTATTTGTGGATGTGATTAACACTTACAATCAGTTAACTGGAGATAAAGCAGATTACCCTCCATCATGTGTGGGTCTCATCCAATCAGTTGAAGGCCTCAGGAGCAAAGACAGATTTTCTGAAGAAGAAGCCATTCTTCTTCAAGACTGAAATGTAGAAATTCTGCTAAGCTTCTAGTCTGTAGATTTTGGACTCAAGACTACAACATCAACTCTTACTTGAATTTCCAGCCTACTGGCCTGCCTACTGATTTCAGCCTTGCCAGCCTCCACAATGTGGTGTCAGCCAGTTCCCTAAAATGTCAGTGTCTCTCTCTCTCTCTCTATCCATATATATATATATATCTCCTCCTATTGGTTTTGTTTTCCTAAAGAACTTTGACTAATACAACATACAAACACAAAGAAGAACTTTAAAACAAAATGCATTGGTTGCCTTTGGGGTGAGGGATGGAAAACGGGAATGTGAGGAAACAGATAAATAGGAACTTCGTGTGGGTCAGTGATGAAAATGTGCCATGAACTTGGAATCATAAATGCAACCTCTATACCTGGAGGTTTAACAAGAGAGAATCAGTAGTGAATGTATCCTCATATCCTACAGCATAGGCAGAAGATTGGCTTTAGGTAAAAGGGTCTGCTCATCTACTCTAATAGGAGGGAGAACAGGACGGATGATGCCCCACTTCACCCCTGTGGCTCCCATTTCCATAGTTTCTTTAAGATGGAAGTTGGAAGCCCATTATTGTCTGGAGACCTGAATTACATAAAGAGGGGAAGGAAGTCATTACTGGCTACCATGTAGTTCTAGATGGTGTTGTAAGCAGGAAATAGCTAGCACAAGGAAAGGAGGCTGGATACAGGTGACTGATGTTCTTTTGTAAGCTGAGACACAACACTGGTGAGGAAAATATAAGGTGATGCAGGAGGAGAGGCTACACTTTAAAGGAGTGTGGGGCTCAGAAAGAACCCTTATTTAGACAACTGGTGTTAGTGTGGTGGTCCTAGAACCATAACCAATTACCTCTCTTATTAGGACAGAGGACATACATAGTCAAGTGTTTTTGACCCAAAGGAGAGGTCTAACGGAAAATGCCAGTTTTTCTCCCTAATTTAGCTAGACAGTTTTATCCAAATTTTACAGATGGAAGAGATTTCCTAGCCTTATAGAACCAGTGACAAAACTAGGTTTTGACTTAGTCCAGCTGATGCCAAGACTTGTTCTCTTAAAAGTGTGAGATGTGAAGTTAAGCAGATCCAGGTTCAAACCCTTGGCCTTGCCGCTTATTAGTAATGGTCTTGAACAATCTTTATATGCTTTAGGCTCCTTCTAACATGAGCGTGGAAATAGTTCCTTTCTTATAAATTGTTGTCTGAGAATTAAATGAATTAATCCATGCAAGTTGCCTTGCTTTACTTAGCAGAATGCTTAGCACAGAGTCGCTGCTTAATGCATGCTATTCCTCAATATTAGCTCTTAGAAAGAGTGACCTCAATATTAAGAAACATGGAAATTGATTTTTCCAAGTGTGATCCTTTGAGTTCTTGCCTAGTCTGCTGTTGACCAATGGTAAGCCTTAGTTGAGTGAGATGAGGGACACACAATAACAGTTAAATTAAGAACAAAGCTTTTGTCCTTAATAGACTAAATTTTAGAATCCTTAAATACTTGACCTCTTAGAAAATAAGAAGGAAGATAAGAATATGTGCCGTGTTTTCTTTCCCTAAAGGTTTCAATTAAAAATACATCCATCAAGCAAACTATTATTACATTATGAATAATGCATTGTGCTTTTCCAGAGATAAGAAAGATGCAAAGGGCCAAAAAGCATACTTTTTCCCCCTCAAAATAGCTACTAATGTTGAAAGAATATTTATTTTTCAGCTCAATCAATATTTTTCCTGTGTTATATTTATGGATTTTTTTATACAGTCCTTTTACATTAATTCTCTATCAATCGGATAAATAGAAAGATGTCATTCCTTCCTCCTTTTTTTTCTACTCTGTATATATTGAACCACTGGATTCTTGGTTTGCATTTAAGGTGGTTTTCACCTGTGTTATGGATTGAATTACGTTCCCCAAATTCATATGTTGAAGTCCTAAACCCAGTATCCCAGAATATGACCTTATTTGGAGATGGTCTTTTCTTGTTTTTGGAGGAAGTGAATTATTCATTACTTTAATTGTAGTGATGGTATCACAGGTGTATGGATATGCTAAACTCATCAAATTGTAAACATTAAATGTGTAATTTTTATTGTATATCAATTATATCTCAAAGCTGTTAAAAATCAGTGTAAATTGAAAATCAAAACATCAGGGCAGAACTTATTTAATATAATATAATTTAATTTAATGTAATCCTATATGAATTACAATGAAGTCTTCAACTGCTCTGTTGTTAACATGAAGGACTGTGGGGTATGTGTTAGCCATACTAAGTCTATGGCTTGAATCCCATTTGAGCAACTTTTCTTTTGGAAGGACATTAAGAAGTGCCCATTGACATTTCTTGAAATTATTTATCAATTCACAAAACCAGATACGGAGATGAGAATTATCTTTTTTCATGGAAAGAATAGTGTAAGCGTTTGAATGCGTAATCAGTCTCCGGAAAGATACACAGGCACCTAATAAGAGCAGTTCCTCAGGGAGCAGTGACTAGGTGACTGGGGGCATGGAGAAGGGGTAACTTTTCATTTGCGAAATTTGCAGATGTGGGACACAGGAGACAGGATCTTCACAGAGGTAATCAAGCTAAAATGACATCATTAGGGTAGACTCTCATCCAATATGACTGATGTCCTTACCTACAGGGGACATTTAGAGACAGATACAGGGAACACCCTGTGAAGATGAAGCCAGAGATAGGAGTGAAGTTTCTACAAGCCAAGCAATGCCAAGGTTTTCCAGCAAACTACCATAAGCTAGGGGAGAGGCAAGGAAGAGATTGCTCCTCATAGCC